TCTACCTACCTTGCTTAATCCTATTAATTCAGAAGAAATTCACGGTCTTCATAAATGTCTTTTTTTATTGCTACCATTCCAAGCTCTACAAAGTGTACTTTACCCATCCAGTGTGGATAATTTTATCCAGGAAATAGAAATATATAACCCACTTTGCACACATTTAAAAAATAAAACGAGAAAAGGTACATCTAACAGTAAAGCTGGCACAGAATGGAAGCTAAATAATAAGCAGCTTTTACAACACACTACTTTGCATTGATTATTTATCTGTCTTCTCCACTAGACCAGGGTTTCTCAACCTTGACTCTACAGACAAGTTGGGTTGGATAATTCTTGGTTATAAGAGACTGTCCTGTGTACTGCAGAATGTTGAGCAGCATCTGCAGCCTCTACCCACTAGATACCAGTAGCACCTCTAGTTATAATGACCAAAAACGTCTCCAAACCTTACCAATGCCCCCCCTAAGGGACAAGAGCACACTTGGTTGAGGATCACTACACTAGACCATAAGCAACTCAAGAACAGAAGCTAAGATACTCACTATTGTATCTCCATATACCTATTACCAAAGCCGGCACTTAGTAGGTGTTCAATCAAACTATGTCAGTGAGAAGCAAAGTCCTACCTTGTAACACCACAAATTAGTTTTGCCTATTTTTTAAATCTATGTAAATGTATACAATAGTTTTATGTCTTCTTTCATTCAGTATTATTTTGTGAGATTTATCTTTGTTGTTGCATGTTTGTTGCAGTTCATCTGTTTCCACTTCTGTATATAGTTATTTCTTTTAATTAATATACTGTATTATCTTAGATAATACAAATATCTTTGGACATTTGGGTTGTTTCCAAATAGTGTTGCTGTGAACAACGTTCTATATGGGTTTTTGTTACAAGTAAGGATAGTCCTTATGCCAAAGGGGAGACAGTAGTGAGTGACAAGTGGACAGTGCTAATATTCTTTCTTATCCTCAGTGTAGGTTGTGTGTGTGTATCTACCTTGTGACCATTCATTTGTGTGTGTGTGTGACCATTCATTAAACTCTCCATTTATTTTTGTGTACTTAGAATTCTGTGTGACACTTCATTTACAGTTCTTTCATTACTAAAAATATTACAGTTGGACAAATAAAAAAAGGGGAAAGTGATTCTGATAAACTCCTATGATGCCAATACTCATAGGAAAAAAAAGCATTCAATTTTATTGTATCAATGAAAAGCATGTTTTTAGAAATGCATTTTTATACTTTTTAAAATACATTTTGTCACTAACAGCCAGCGAGATGCAAAGGAAAATGTCTACTGTTAGTCAAAGTGTGAATTCATAAAACTTTTCTAGAAGGCCATTTGGTAATACATACCAAAAGCCTTTAACACGTGTTAGATTTAAAAGTTTATCTTGCAAAAACGAATCAGGCAAATTTGTAAAAATTTGTGTGTGTGTATGACAGAGCAATAATTTATGTAAGAATGTTTTTCAGGTAAATGCTTATAATATTGAAAAATTAAAAGCAAATTTGTAATAGGCAACTAGCTGAATATATAATGGTATATCCATTTAGTAGAATACATGTGACCATATTTAATGACAAGAAAAATGTTTATAATGCATTAAGTTAGAATAAGTTATAAAACACAATGACACATTTGTAAAGTGGGGGGAAAACATAAATGCCCACAGAAACAAAACTCAAAGACAGAAGCCAAAATGTTAACTTTTGTCATCTTTGAGAAGTTGTTTGTTTTTACTTTTTTTTTAAAGGCCTATTTACTTTCTAAGTGTTCTACAAGGAATATGTGTAACAATTTAAAAAGTAAAGTTTTATTAAATGAGTTTGATCAATGACTAAGAAAGAAAACATGAGATAAATAACACCTAACATAGCCTCAGGGAAAATGGTAGCTTCTAGTGTCTTTAGTATATAGACTCACAGCCTTCCTCAAGTAATTATTGCGTTGGTTTTCGTAAACATAGTTGAATTTTATAAGCTTCATTCTGTGTGTACCAAGAATTCAGACTCAGACAACATTTCAGAGAGCAAGTCTTTCTTCAGAAGAAGAATATAGCTTTACGTTTGGAATCTTACTCTAATGATTAGAAAATAGGCAAGTTGCACTTAGAGGATTTTTTAAGCTACTATTGCTTAAGGTGTCATTTTCTTCATTACTGTCAAACAATAATCTCTTAACAAAAAGTGGATATAATTTCAAATTCTAAGTCTATGACAGCTTTTCCAATTTAAATATTTCTTATTCTCTTAATGGAACACAAATACAATGCAATACTTGCAAAGTAGCTATTTAAAACAGCAAATAATTGGCATGGAAGAATCATGGTCATCCAAAATCATATACTGAGAATGAAGAAATAATTCTCAACTTTTACTTTGCTTCACGGGAATCCTGCTAATAAGCACTTCCCGCTTGTACCAGGTAAGTAATGATTTCTTCTAGGTCAGTAAACGCCAACATTGATTGCATTCACTTACAATAAGTATAACCAGAGCAAACCCATTCTCACACAAAGATTCTCTTTCCAAGGCTGACTTACAGTCACTGCTCTCCTTTCTATTTCTGAGAAAGGGGATCAACGCAACCAGCATGTGCTTCTTAACTCCTGCCTGGGCATATCTCTCTGTCAATACACTATAAAGTATTGCTGAAGTGACAACTCATACCAGTTTGCATAGGACAACCTAGTTTGCATCCACTGTATCTGTATGGTTATTAATAGCAGCCCCTTTCATTTCTCAGTGTCCCAGTTAAGTAATACATTATGTGGCCAGCCTATTGTCCACACACAGGATGTATGATGCTAGTCTAGAACTTGGAATAAATGCCTCTATCCATCCACACTCTTGCCTTGTCTTCCTGATGGTATGACTTGTCTGCACTGATAGTATAGGACAGAAAATGCACAGAATAGTCATGGACTCATACCACCCCTGTTGGTAGGTAAAACGATCTGAAAAGGAATCTCTTTAAGGTGAACCCTATCCCTTCTCCAGAAGCTCATAAACCATGAGAGACCAACTACGAGGTAGCCCAAATCACATACCCTAGGGAAAAAATACATATTTGAAAAATTAGCCAGTCTATTGATACTTGTTAGGAGTTGTGCCCCTCAATCTATTATTCCAAATAATACCATAAAATAAAAGAAGGTCCAAATTTCTTCTAAGTCTAAATATTTCTGTCTCTGCTAATGGTAAAATTATTCACATAGTCACCTCAGCTAGAAACCTTGCAATCAAGTTTTATTCTCCCTCTTCTCCACTATGCAATTAATTACCAAGCCCTATTGGTTCTATTTTAAAGCCTCCGGCATTCATCGCCCAATCCTTTTTATAAGAACAAGATTTTCGACTGTGATTGTTACAATGACTTTTCTCTACTTTTCGTTTGCTTCCAATTCACCTTCCTCACTTCTGCTAGAATTATCTTAAATAAAGCAGTCTCCTTAGTTCACTGCCTGCTCAGTACCCTCGGTAAATTCAGACTTCTTAGCCTGGCACCCAATACCTTCATCAATTGCACTCAAACCTCCTCCCCATTCTCAATTCCAATACACCTCCCAACAGGCATATGCTATCCAATGGTTCTCATCTACTGATGGTATTGCTCTCATAGAAGGTACTGAGAGCAGTTCTGGGACATGTTTGCCTGTCACAGTGATTTGAGGATTCAAAGTACACTTAATGAGCAGGGGCCAAGGACACTAAATGTTCAGCAATGAAGAACAAGTCCTGTAAAATAGAAGATTGCCTTGCCAAAATCCCAAAAAGCAAGATTTCTTGTTCCCCAAACACATCATCTTAATGCACATGCGGTTCCTTCTTTCTAGAATTTATTTAGCCACCACCCACTAGTTCTGCCTCCTTCCAAAATAATATTGTCTGGGTGATGCCATTCAAACTTCCCTTATCTAAAGACTCTCTCAGTTAAATAGTTACACAGTGTATTCATGGAAGATTAAATCACTCTCATATATACATATATACGAGACACTCTTGTATATAAACATATACACAAGACACTCTTGCATATGCATATATGAGACAGTCATATACGCATACATGGGACTCTCTCTCTTATGTGCATATATATGAGACACTCTAATATATATGTATGCGAGTGATTTAATGATCCCTGCTAATGGCAAAATTATATGACAGTGATTTGTATATGATGCCTGATACAGCACTTAATATATTAAATTATAATTAAACTGCTTATCATTTGTCATTTTATTCATGATGTCCTTTTCCTTATCCTCTGTCTTCTAAAATTTGAGCACCTTGAAGAAAGATGTTCCTTTGATATCTCATTTTTTAAAAAAACTCATTTTTTACAATTGACCTAGAAGCTGAGACTCATTCTATAGGTGATTTTTGGATTAAAAGGTAAAAAGTTTTACCATCGTGCCTCTGTACAAAATGCCATCCTTAACCTTTTTTATGGTTGTTAAACTTATAACTCAGAAAACTTTTAAATAAGGTAAATATTTTAGATACATCTTTATCAGTGATGATGCTTAAAGAAACATTAAATGCATATATTAATTGTCAGTTCGACTAAAACAGATATTATAAACTCAGGTAAAAGTGGTGGGGGGAGCTACAGAAATTGTGATAAAGTAGAGAGACAGTTCCAGGATAAAGTGTTTAAAAATTTTTGTGGTTTTTTTTTTTTTAAGCACTGAGTAACTACTTCTTACAAAGATTTGACTAACAAACTATGTTTGAGATCCTTGCAATGAAAAAATACTAAAATATCTTTTAAATCTATAAATAAGAAGTGTGAGGCTGTGTGATATACTTCTATTCAAAATGTAAAGTAAGAGTAATCTAACCTCACCCCACTCATTTTTGCAAGTTTGACCTTAGAATATTTCTATCACCTATTACAAAATACCTTTTTTTGGGGTCAAAATTTTCAACTTAGCTCATCCCCTAAGTCACACAGCCAGCAGAACAGGACAAAGTCAAATGCTTACGTGCACATCTGTTCATATCTGGGGCTCGGTGTCCATAGTACCCTGACGGGCAAGAATGCAGGCACTCTCCATACTGTCGCATCCCTTCTCTCCGAAGGAAGAAGAACAACTTCTGTTGACATCGACTGCACCCATTGTCCTTTGAACAAGACAAACAACCCTTGCAGATGGGATTTGATACATAACTAGCTGCAAAAGAAAAACAAAAAAAATTCATTAAATATGAATATGATCAGACTTCTGGTCAATGCTGAAAGGACAAATGTTTATTTTCTGTCTGCTCCACTCACACAGAAATACTGAACAAAATATCCTTCCATTTCTACCCCTCCATCTCCACCCCCCAAAAATTTAATACACAACCAAACTTAGGAACAAAGAGGAAACTTAGAAGCAGAGTCAAGCCCAGAAGCTGAAAATGAATGACTCATGGGATGTCAGAGCAAACAGAGGTAAGATTTATGGCAAGGTCCTAAATCTAGGCCAAGACACATGCATGTGAAGAGTTGACACTCAGCTCCCTTTATGGAGACAGGAGTGGAGAGATCTGTTTGTTCATGACAAATACTATGACCCCTCTGTTGCAACTGACCAGAGAAGAGAAGTCCAACTTTGCACTGAGGATACAGAGGGGGAGGGAGGCACAGGAGAGAGAAAATGTAGCCCATGAGACATGAGAACCCCAAGCCTGCAAGACATCCAAGTGTGGAAGCCAAATTTAAAATGTTGTAGTATGGGGTTCCTAAGTCAAGACGTTAACATGAAAACCTGTCCAGATCCAGAAAACCCACAGAGTAAAAAACATATAAAACTATCCTCTGATTTTTTTTCTACAATCCTGAGACCCAGAACTTTCACAGAAAACTACTCTAACATCAAAATGAACAAGAAAAACTTCACAACGAAGAGTCATCAAAATCAGTAATAAGGAAAATTCATATCTAAAGAACCAGAAATAAGAGAACAATCTTAAAGAGCCTTTAAAATGAATCATTATAGAATATTTGAAGAGACAAAGGAAGGACTCAAAATAGCATGGAAAACAGCAAGAATGTACAAATTAGAATGAAATGAAAATTCTAAAACTAAAAAAAAGAATTCTACACATGTTGGCCGGTAAAGTAGTAAGGAATAACATAACCAAAAAACATTTAAAGAACCATAGCATGAAACAAGATAATAAGGTAAGAAGTATGTAGAAAAAAATAGAGACGTTGTAATCCATTATTAGTAGATATTACAGAAGAATTTTTTTAAATGAGTAAGATAGACTATTCATAGAAATCATGGTTGATTTGTTTTCAGAATTAAAGACAAAAGTTCTTAGAGAAAAAATTGATAGACAGCAAAACAAGTCTGCATTTAAACACAGTATATTTATACTGAAGAATAAAATCAAACCATGGAGGAGCAGCAGGTTATCTACAAAGGAACAAAAAGTTGACTGACAGCAGACTAATAATCAGAAACAATAAATGTTAGATAGCAGGATACAGACTTCAACATGCTGAGGAAAAATTATCAAAATATAATTCTATAAACAGTTAAATTATAGTTTAAGAAGAGGGGGAAATAGAAATCTTTTCAGTAAAAGGCAAGAAATATATTAATCAAAAAATAAGGTATACACTAAAAGAACAAATAAACTGCACATACTGGAGAAAATACAATAGAACCTGAAAAAGTAGAATGCAACAAGCAATAGTGATGATATAAGTTGAAAAATGTTGGTACAGCTATAAAAGTATAGATTTTAAAATATATGTAATGATTTATTTTCAGAGCTTGAAAATAAATATTTTATATTCACAGTGATAACGTGGAAGACTTGACAAGGAAGCCAGAGCTAAGGCATTCAAAGGTTCCGCATTAGTAGTGAAGAAAGTCCATATAAATTAAAATGCTTTTGCCCATCAAAGCTGGACTGAGTAAAAAAAATGTGGTACACATAAACAATGGAATATTGTGCAGCCATAAAGAAGGACAAATATATCGACTTTGCAGCAACCTGGATGGATTTGGAGTCAATCACATTCAATGATTTATCACAGAAACAAATAACAGAGTTCCATATGTTCTCACTCATAAGAGGACCTTGAACAATTATAATGCTATAAAAAAGCGATAGGCAGTAATGGGAAACTGTTGGGGGTGGGGGCGGATTGGCAGTTGAGGGAAACTGCTAAGGGAGGGAGGGGCATACCTCATCAAAAATGGTACCTGCATGATCAATGTTTATATACTTAACCCTGAATTGTACCCCACATCTTTATAATAAAAATTTAAAGAAAAAAAACTTAAGCAAGTTACCAAACAGTAACTATTCTATTACAAAAATAGTAATAGAATATATAACTTCTAAGCCAGTGTCAGCTACAAACATGAAATGTATAAAATATGAGTAGGAAGAAACAACCCAAGTGTCTATGAAGAGAATAGACAAATTGTTGTATATTCATGCTATGAGTTTTACTCAATAATTAAAAGGATCAAAATACAGGCTTATGCAACATAAATGAAGTTCATACACATTATGTTGATAAAAATAATCCAAATACATATAAAAAGAGTATGTTCTGTTTAATTTCACTTATATTGAGGTCAAAGACATGTACAGCTAATCTATGGTGGCAGAAATAAGAAAACTAAATGTCTTTTAGGGCTGAAGATTGACTAGAAAGGGCCAATACAATCTAGGAGATGATACATTAGTTTCCATGGGTTGCCATAACAAATCACCACACTTCAATGGCTTAAACAATAAGAATTTACTCTCAATTCTGTGGACTAGAAGTCTAAAATAAAGGTGTCAGCAGGGCTGTGCGCCTCTGAAGGACTTAGGAGAGAATCCTTTCTTGCCTCTTTCAGCTTTTGGGGGCTTCAGGCATTCCCTGGCTTGTAGCAACATCATTCCAATCCCTGCCCTCCATCTTCTCATGGCCTTCCTTTGTATCTCTGTGTGTCTTTTTCTGTCTCATAAAAACACTTTCAATTTAGAGTCTTAATTCCACAGGATCTCATCATTATCCTTAACTACATCTGCAAAGACCCTATTTCCAAATAAGGTCACATTCAAGTGCTCCAGGTATACACGAATGGGCTAGGGGCACTAGTCAATCCACTAAAACAGGTGATAGAAATAGCTTTTATCTTGACTGGATATTGATTACACACATATATATTTGCAAAACACAAAAAACTGTACATTTATCTAAGTACTATATATACTGTGCATTTTTAGTTACTGTGCACAATTTATAAGTGAATTGCATCTCATTTTTTTTAAAAAAGAAAACAGATTGATAGGGAGGCCATACAATAACTTCAGAATAATATAGACTTATAATTACATCTCTTTTGAAGATGCTATGAATTATATTAGGTGCTCACCAATACTTTTTACTTTTGAATTTTTTTTTTAAACAAAAAAAAAACCTATTGGAGAGATAAGGTGAGGGAAGATAATACTAAGCTAATGTTGAAATAGCATCTTAAAAGAAAAAAATTGATACATGAACTATATGAAGTTCTCTGCATCTATTGATAGAAATGGTACTTTCAAAGACAATAAATGCTTTGTCTAGATCTGGTACAAAATTTAGAAGCTATATCATCTGAAATATTAATACAATTTCTAAAATGAAAAACTTGTAACTTTTAGTTTTTATGATACCAAACAAGGTCATAAATATAACAGGATACATGAAGTCACATTAACTTTGTTTTATTGAGTTAGCCCTCTCAGTAAAAATAATGAAGAGAGAATAGGAAAACCAAAAATTATTAAAACTTTTAGCTTTAAGACTACATCTTGTTTGTGCTACATATAATCCTTATTGTCTATCAAAATTAATATCAAGCATAAGTGATTAGGAGAGCAGCTATATAACAGAGTACATTGTACATCACATCATTCCTTTACTTACAATGATTCAATAGACAGTACTGTCAGTCACTTGCAGCAGATCTCCTCAGGTTTTAGTTCCACAAAATGCCTTCCCTTCTCCTGAGCTTCCACAGCCCTGATTTGGTCTTATAGCCTCTTGCCCAGGGAGATCCCAAAACCAGGGTTTAATCTCCCTTTCAGAGAAGGAATCAAAGGAGAATCAAGGTTTTTCAGGAACAGGAATCAAATAGCTTTTTTGAATTGTCCAGTAAGATCTTCACATCTATTCCAGGATTTTGTCCTATCAACCATTCATCTGCTTTTGACTGCATATTCAATCTATTTCTTGGACATTCTTTTGCTGGCAAACCTTTTTATGCTTTCCAAGTAATTTCCCATTTAATACCTGTTACTTAAATTTGTGGTTTTTGGGAGCAGGGCTGGGGAACCAATGCTGATGAAAAATCATCCCATTAGATATAATTACTAGTAAAATTTTGCCAAACAACTTTTCAGATATATATATATATATATGCATATACACAATATATAATTTTCATTTTTCATAAATGTGGTCATATCGTACATGCTATGACATAACTTGTTCAATTTCAATCAAGTTGCAAGCATCTCACTACAACAATGAACCAAACGTCACTATCATATTTCTTGAAAGTATCTGTTTCACCTCTTGCCTCTACTGAATTATTTCCAAGACTACTTCTATAAAGACTACAACCAGTTTTCTAATCCTCAAGACCTCATTCTCACTTTCTGATCCCCACAACTTCAAAAGCCTACAATGCTGAAAGTTTTCTTCCTCTGGCTTCTGTGATAATATCACCTCCTATGGACTTGATTCCAACCCTCACTCTGGGTCTTCCACTAATCTCATATCTCAGGTTTTCCTGATTTCTCAACTTGGACAGTTATGAAGCCCCAGACCCACCCTTCCCTACTTCACTCTACATTCTATCAATGAATTAATTTTCCTATCACACACATTGTAATATTTTTGTTACACCCTATTCTGTCTAGATAATTATTCTTTATAAAGCATTTTTGAATAGCTGGCTGCAAATTAGGCTATACTGTCTAAAATTTCCTCAGCGTCCTTCTGAAGATGTTTTATTCTATTATTGTTCTTAGTAATGCATTAAGTGAGTTTCAAAAAGCTGGAATATAGTGCAACTTCTCTGTGTAAAAGGGGCAAAAAATGAAGGAAGCAGGGTAGAGAATGCAAAAAACTGAAGAGGAATAGAAATTGAGAATATTCAGAGGCTGTATAAGGAAATGGCTGTGGGTAGAGTAGAAAGTGATTCTTTTTCATTTCAGGGCTGTCCAAGAACATAATCCAACTTTCAGCACAGAGGCCTATGGAATGATATTTAGAGAAGCAATTTATGACTCTTTTGTGAAAGAGACATCCCATAAATATGAGCAACCAGGAGACTACGGCAAAAGCAGGGGTTGCTGGCTGAGCTACACTGAAAGCCATCCCACCCCACACCATGGAGCCCTCTACAACGTGTCTGAGGCATTTGCTGACTACCTTCTGCTCTTGAATTTAACTACAGACTTTAAAAAAGCAATATCTAAGTTATCCAAATCTCAAACTTAGCTTTGTAAGTAAAAGGAGAATTTGGAAGGTTTATAAGTACACAGAATGGTTTAAGGAGAAAGCACTGTGCCCTGCAGTCATCACAAACTAAGTTGAAGCTATACTTTCAGTTCAAAAGTTAAACTAAAGCTCTTTAACACCATAAATCACACTCCATAGTAAGAAGTATGGAGGAAAGAGAATTACAGAACCAAGAGAATCAACAAAAATTAAAGGCTTTTTGTTTTGTTTTTATGTATCAGAAGCCAACTTTCATCTTGACCACAAATATTTCAGAGTCAACAAATTGTGCCCTACTTTTGTTTAAAAAAAGGTATTCTTAAAAGCATTAAAAGCGTTGCTTTGTTTACTTGAACCTTTACAGACTTAAACAAGGAAAATGAATTAGAGAATACTTACCGAAGTCCATATCTCAGATATCTTTATAACCCTACACACAAGGAATTCTCTTAAAGCAAAATTGAGGTGAGCCATACCCAACCTAAATGCCCGCTCTCCCCTTTCTCCAGTCCTCTTCAGTCATATGCTGCTCAATGCTGAAGGACAAGAGTCCATGTGATTTTTACAATTTGAAGTTTCTGGCCCCAAAGCTCAAATAGGTTTTTCAGTTTAAGTAACCATTGTCCAGTGTCAACTATGTTAGTGTCCTTCTCCATATTGTAAATCAATAGCTTAGTAATTCAACAAGAACTTCTCCACCCATGATATGTTAACTACACTAACCTCTGTGTCTAAACACAAGCAAAAACAGACATTTAAGTACGACTGGAGTAATTTATTTAGTCAGGATCTTAATAAGTCGAATGACTCTGTCCATTGCTATGAGATTTAATTCAAGTGTGCAGGTGAATAAACAGATCTTAATTCTCAGCTTTGATGACCATGTTTATTTGCTCTCTCTGTAAGTTTCAACTCTTCCAACCTTGAAGCCCGCTGAGATCCAGAGTCTCATCATTCCAACCAAAACAATTTTCTAAATCTGGACCCACCCAAAATTCTAAAGATGAAATATATCACATAAAAGATTACAAATCCTGAAAAGGGAGATAGACAATGATCCTATTATAGCACAAACCCACATATATCTCCTTGATAGGAAGAGAACTATTATGTGGATTTAAAAGACAAAAATTATGAGTCAAAAACAAGGTAATACCTGTATCACTAATAATTACATCAAGAGAGAAAAACAACATACGTAAAATTCTTTACTACTAATCCTAATTAGTTGATTCGTATTCCTCTTAAATTGCAAAGTAAATTTGACCTTTTTTGTGAATCCTGATATCTTAAGTTTGATCCTTTGCTAAATCAAATTCATGTATTCGCATTTTATCTCATAGAGAATTTTATATAGGTGTTGAATGCCCATCTGTTTTCAATATATTCCTGACACTTTTTAAAAGTGTTCCCCTCTTTCTGAAGTTAGCCCTTGCCAAGCAAGAAAAAATATAAATTCCTTCTAGATGAATGCATTCATTCCTGACAAAGGTACAGATTTCTAATTCTTTTTTTTTTTTTTTTTGAGTTAGAGTCTCAATC